GCTGTTATCAGTATAGGAATGACTGCAATTCAGTCGATATTACATATTGAGCTGTGTGTAAGAAAGCTAGTTTCCCGCTGGGTTCCCCACAATTTGTCCAAAGAGCAAAAGGCGGCTCGTGTAGATTGGTGCCGGAATACTCTGCAACGCTTCAACGGAGGGAAGTCAAATGCCGTTTATATCGTTTCAGGTGACGAATCATGGACTTATTTTTATTATATTAATCATACGAACCTGAAAGAAAACATCAGTCAGCAGTTTGGGTCTTCGAAGACGAGGTCAAACCAACGAAAGTGGTTCGCTCCCGCAGCGTGTCAAAGAAAATGGTCGCTACGTTTGTCTCGAAAAAGGGGCATATTGCTACAATTCCTTTACAGGAACGCTGAACGGTTACCGATGAGTGGTATATCACGGTTTGTTTGCCAGAAATGATATCCGAACTCAGAAAAAATAATACGAAATGTCGCATCATCTTCATCACGATAATGCGAGCTCCCATACGGCTCGGAAGACAAATGATTTTTTGAAGCTGACCTGAGCCCAAACGATTTCTTTACATTCCCTAGAATTAAAGATTTATTAAGCGGTCAACGGTTTGAAGACCTCGAAGCAGCTGTGGAAGCGTACAAATCAGCCATTTTGTCAACATCAACTTCAGACTGTAATTGCTGTTTTAATGATTGGTTTGCACGAATGGAAAAGCATTAAGTTGAACGGAGAATACTTCGAAAAACAATAAAGTACAATTTAGCTATAACGTGCATGTGGTTTTTCTTATTCCCGATGATTTCATTGTGCCCCTCGTATTACCCCCCAGTCGTCGAGAGTCAAGTTGGACGCAAAAAAGGGGTCATAAAAGATTGGTTTTCTCATTTGCGGCGAGACCAAGCGAGTCAGTCCTTCTTGCGCAGAGGTGGTAATGATGGTTTACAGAAATTCCATTAGGCAGCCTTGTCGAGGAATAAGAACGCACGAGTTCTCGAAGGAAGGCTAATTAGTTTATCGCCAATTCTCCTAATGTGCTCCGACTTTGCCATAACGATAACTCTTTTAAAGGTCTTGGAGGCAGAGTTGTACTTCTTTTTGAGTGCACTAGTTGTGGACGAACGGACCGGGCCACCGATGCATCAGCCAAAGCTTTGTAAGACTCCTGCTTTTGCCGCAACGCAATTTTACAGGAGCGTCCAAACCAATACTGGAATATGACGCCGGTAGGCATTACGCATGATACGGATTATCGGATCCATCCCTTGAAGTATCACATTGGCGACAGACTCAGCAACGAATTTTTTGTGATCATCTAGCGAGAAGATAATCCGCCCCCATGATACCCATGGGTAGGATGCAAAAAAGACCCACATACCATCCCAATCTGTCGACCTATAGTGCCACATATGGCGGCAGCCTACAGATCGTGCCTGCAATGAGCAAGTGATGGACACTGTCACATCGACGGAGGGACGATTCAACAAGGATGGTATATGATCCTCCACATCTGGAATCTGCGTGGGCAAAGTGACCAATTGTGTTAGACCACATTCCAAGGCAAAGCCGTAAACAGATCTTCCTTCCTTTTTTAGATTGATCAGTAGTATGACAACCGCGAGCCGTTCTCATCCTCTCTCATCCTCTCATACCATCACCCATGGTGACGGAGAAACCCTCGCTGAGTATCCACGGCCAAGCTACCCTACTCTTCCTGAGCGTGGGTGCTCAGACTGCCCCGCGTATTCTTTCGAAGTTCCACTCACGACTAAAACTGCTCCCCCCTGGCACGCTTTCCATTAACTTTTGCAACATTATAAATTCGTTCCAACCTTTTAACAGTCAACTACCATCCGAAAACGGCGAAGCCAGCCTTGCCCTTTTTAAACGAACTCAGGTGTCCTCCCCAGCGGATACTTCATATCTCTCTCACCCGGGGTGCAAATTAGAACACTCCTTTGTGCCCCGGATTGGAGTTTACGTCAGAGAGAACCATCTCCGCTTCTACGAGTGCCTGTACTAATACAGGTCCCATAGCGGTCATGCCGAAACAGACCGACTCTTCAGCCACGTCCAAATGGCTACAGAATCCGTGCTGCAGCAGATCCCATCCACAGAGATCGTGATCCTTGGCTATTTTAACGCCCACCATGCCGAATGGCTCGGTTCACGTTTAACCGATCATGCGGGGAGATCTGTTTATGCCTTTGCCTTGGCATATGGATTGACACAATTGGTGTCAGTCCATATGCCAAGGCAAAGGCATAATCGCCTACGCGGATCCCAGATCTTAAAGATCATACACCTTCTTTCTTTTTTATATAGGATAGGGTGTCAAACGAGCACACAGTCCACCTGAGGCTAAGTGGTTGCTTCGGCCCATAGACATCTACATCTATCCTCGATTGCAAATGAAAATGATGATGATGTGTTGTCACCCGTGAGGACTAAGATGGAATGCATCGTTTCCAGTAAAAAGGGGCTCCGGTTCTCTACACTCACCATACGAAACACAGTAATATTAAGCTATAGTAGCTTTACGCTGGTATTGTGTGAGAGTGTGGTCCTTTCCCAGTCGAGCCGACCCATTCGTGCTACACCTATACTACTAATATAACTGCAGCATGGCTCCACCACGTATTAATTTTTTTCGTCTAGGCTCGTCGAATCATTGTCTTGTCCGAAGTGTGGTGCCAGTCACATTTAACGTCGCGGTTGCACTCTGCGGTCTGCCGCCGTGTTTGGCATTGGTACTATAGGTTAGTCGATTGGGATAGGATGCGCTCTTTTTTGCATTCTACCCTTAGGGGTTTTGCTTCTCGCCGGACGATCTCAGCGTTGTTGCTGATGTGGTACTTCAGGGTATGGAACATTTTATTCCATCCTCTGTGGTGACCATAGGAGGCAGATCCCAGCCATGGTTTGCAGGAGCCCCGGCTCCGCTACCGGGCCTGGGCCTGAGGGCTGATGCATCAACGTCTCGGGGTGTAAACACCAGCGCTCTTAAAAAGAAGTATAATTCCGCCTCCAGGTCCTTCAAAAAAGTCATTGTCAAGGCAAGGTCTCAGCTCATCGGCAGGATTGGTGAGAAGCTAGTTCGCCTTCCTTTGGAAACGCGTGCATTCTAGTCTCTCGCCAAGATTGTCCAAGGGCATTTCTATCAATCATCTCTTCCATCTCTGCACAGAGAGGACAACTCACTGGCCCATGCCGCAAAGGAGAAAGCTGATTTGTTAGGCTCTCTCTTTGCGTCCAACTCGTCTCTCGATGACGGGGTGAACACACTGCCGACCACCCCCGGTGTGAGTGCTCTATGCCGGATAAGCGGCTTACTCAGCGCTCGGTTCGCAAAGCATACCTGTCCCTGGACGTCAGCAAGTCGAGTGAGCCTGATGGAGTCCCTCCCATTGTGCTGAAGACGTGTGCTCCGAAGTTGGCACCGGTTTTAACACGTCTTTTCTGGTACTCCTGCTCTCAAGGTGTAGTCCCGAATTCATGGGAGACAGCTTTGGTCTACCCGATCCCTAAAAAAGGCGACCGCTCCTGGCTCGTGTCCAAGGGGAGACATTGGCCGTTAGTTTGTACATAGCGAAGGCCTTCGATCGGGTCTGACACAAAGCTCTTCTTTTGAAGCTCCCTTCATATGGGCTTCCCGAGAAATTATGTGATTGGATCAAGTTTCCTTGCTGATCGTAGCAATAAGATGGTAGTAGACGGTACATGCTCTGATTACAAGCCTATAAACGCTGGTGTTCCACAAGGCTGCATGCTATCACCAACGCTGTTTCTCCTGCATATCAATGGTATGTTGCAAACTGGTAACATTCATTGCCATGCAGACGATAGCACTGGTGATGTCTTATACACCGGCCGTACCAATCTTTCTCGGCAAAACGTTGCTGAGTACCGGTGTTGGTATCTGGACAAACTTGTGTCTGAAGTCGAGTCTTTGCTGAACAGTCTTGTATTTGGGGCGACTAAATCTAGTCCAGTTCAATTCCTAGAAGACACAAGTTGCGCGTTTACCGCTAAAAAGAACTCCTTTGTCGTATCTCCTCAGTTTCAAGGCACTCACCTTGCTGCCACAGCTAACGTCGAAATTCTCGGCGTCGACATATCGAATAGTGTAGCCTCTAAAAAGCTTGGCGTGCTCAGCAGAGCAAGACAGTATTTCATGCCGGCACATCGCTTGTAACTTTACACAGCGCAAGTTCGGTCTCACATGGAATACAGTTCAGACAGCCCAGAGATGGGCCGGGGCATCCTAGTGCCAACTCCTTCCACTTGACCGCATCCAGCGCAGAACGGTTCGAATCGTCGACGACTGAGTTCTTTCTGATAGGCTCGATTCACTGGCGCTGCGTAAAGATGTTGGATCCCTTTGCATTTTCTATCGCGTATTTCTACCACAGGGAGTGCCTGAGGAATTGTTTGGATCAATCCTAGCCGCCAAATTTCATGAACTTACATCGCGTCAAAATTCAAGATACCGTCCTCACCATCTGGATTCTTGGCGGTCCACCACTGTGCGTTTTACTAGGAGTTTTTTTTCCTCGTGCTTCTTTGTGGAATTGTTTACCACCGCCGATTTTTCCGGACCGATACGACTTAGAGACCTTCAAGCAAAGAGCTTACTCCTTTTTAAAAGGCTGGCAACGCACTTGCAATTCTCCTGTTGTTGCGGTTGTTCATGGGCGGCAGCAGTCACTTACCATCAGGTGAGCCGCATGCTTGTTTGCCCCTTTTATAAAAAATCGTCGTCTTACCTACTTCTGTCACAAAACGGCTGGTGTATTCAGTATTGCAGTTGCTGGGTATGGCGTGTATATTGCTATTATGTACAAAATGCTTAGTAATATGAATATTTGCCCTATTCTTTAGTCCCATGTTTTATTGATTTAGGGTTATTTATATACGGTATTTTCAAAAATATTATAATTTATTTCAGTGCAATATTTGTTTCGTATAGCTATGATCCTATCCGAGATGTATTCCGTTTGCATTCATCAAAGCAAATGTATACAAAACCAACCACAGTGATATCGACAAAAACAGCGTCAGTAACAGTGCCAAGTGGAAAGCAGTCAGTAACAGTACCAAGTGAAAATCAGCCAGTAACAGTACCAAGTGGAAATCAGTCAGTAACAGAACCAAGTGGAAATCAGCCAGTAACAGTACCAAGTGGAAATCAGTCAGTAACAGTACCAAGTGGAAATCAGTTAGTAACAGTACAAAGTGGAAATCAGTCAGTAACAGTACCAAGTGAAAATCAGTCAGTAACAGTACCAACTGGAAATCAGTCACAAACAATACCAATTGGAAATAATTCAGTAACAGCACCAAGTGGAAATAAGTCAGTAACATCGAAACGTAGAAAAATATTTAAAAAAAAAGAAGGGTTCATACCTAATCATATAAATGCCTACAACTTGTTTAATTTTCTTTATATTTATCCGGTTTAAAGGATAAAATAGAATACTTTATTCTCTATTCAAAGATATTTTAATGATTCCAGTGCCCTACAATTAGCTACATCCATACTAATATTATAAAACTAATACTATAAATGCGAAAGTGTGTTTGTTTGTTTGTCCTTGTTTCACGTCGCAACAGAGCGTCGGTATGGCATGATTTTTTGTATGGGGATAGTGCGGTGGCTGTAGAGTGACATAGGCATAATAATTTTTTCAGCGAAAAAACATATCATTCCCGTGGGAAAATCGAATATGTTGCAAAATTAAATTCAGCTAGGTGGCGCCATCGTGAGTCTACAAGACGGACGACGGTACGATGGACGGACACAGATGGTCAGAATATCTGGATTATTATGTCTTTTTACCAAAATTAAGATAAAAAATGTATGGATCTGTATTTTTCCACGCAGGACCGGGAAGAGAGCGATAAAAAACGTAAAGTTCACCAGCTGTTTTTCTTAAAACGTTTTGGTGCATTGTAATTCACAGAACAGGCGATTACCTCGCAGACTATATTAAGTAATCCGTTGATGTTCTGCCTACCCCGCAAGGGTTATAGGCGTGATTATAAGTATGGATCAGAAATACTATCACGACCTATCACGCTAAGGGTGAACCTTAACTATAACTTAACTGTGGTAGAAACAGTTCTCAGTAAGCCTTATTAATAAGCCTTAGTATTATTTATTGATCGGAAATTAATACAGTTCTTATATGTGGTTATGTATGAATCGGTATTACAATAAGAAAAATTGTGCAAAATTATAAGAAAAATATTTTTTGAGAGTTCTTATTAACTAACGTATACATAGTTTAAATTGATTCCGCTAGATGTGGTTACTAGGTTTTTAAAACGCGGTAACGAAATGTTTCCTTGACATGTACTTAACTCCCGCCGTTGAGCCGCGCGTCAACTTATAGTGCATACGGTACCTATACGCTTAAATTGTTCTATTTTGTAGCTTATTCTACTACCTGCTTTCGATTTCGGTTGTTTGTTATTTGCTTTGTGATTTGGTTAAGGTTGAATGGATTTATATTGGCTTTCATTTTCGGATCTGTGTATTTTCTTGGATCGGTTTTGTTGATTTGGTTGGTATTCCTTTATACATATTTAGACTCTGGCTTTGATTTTGGATTTTGTTTATTTAGAATCGTGAATTGGTTTTCGTTGTTTTAGGTTGTTTAACAATATTTCAAAGGAATATTAATAGTATAGATAGTGTATACGGTACCTATACACTTACTTCTTTTTTCGTTGGTTATATTTGTATTGACTACTGCTTTCGATTTCGGTTTTCTGTGATTTGTTTTATGATTTGGTTTAAGTTGATTCGATTTTTTTTGGCTATGGTTTTCGGATTCGTGTTGTGTCTTGAATTGGTTTTGATGTTTTGATTTTAAAAAATATTTAAAAGGAATATTTACTCCTTTTAGATATTTAGAAATTTGATTTAAAAAAAATATTTAAAAGGAAAATAAATTCCTTTTAGGTATTTTAACGTTTATTTAAAAATAGGTTTTTTGTTACTTCATAATGCCTCGCAAACGTAAGTCCAGCCATTCAAAGGTATCTTCTCAAAGACAAGCGAAAAGAAAAGCTCGATCGCTAGAATCTTTAGAAGATGCTGAACTGAGAATACAAGAACAAGCAGAGCGTCAGGCTGCTTTTAGAGCATCTGAGACACCTTCTCAACGTCAGCAAAGGCGTCTTGAACAGACAGAGCGTCAGGCTGCTTTAAGAGCCTCCGAAACACTTTCTCAAAGTCAGCAAAGTCGTCTTGAACAGGCAGAGCGTCAAGCTACTTTAAGAGCTTCTGAAACACCTTCTCAAAGTCAGCGAAGGCGTCTTGAACAGGCAGAGCGTCAAGCTACTTTAAGAGCTACTGAAACATCTGCTCAAAGTCAGCAAAGGCGTCTTGAACGGGCAGAGCGTCAAGCTACTTTAAGAGCTACTGAAACACCTGATCAAAGTGAGCAAAGGCGTCTTGAACAGGCAGAGCGTCAATCTACTTTAAGAGCTACTGAAACACCTGCTCAAAGTCAGCAAAGGCTATTCGAACAAGCGGAACGTCAGGCCGCCTTAAGAGCCGCGGAAAGACCTGATGAAACTCAACACAGACTCATTGAGCAAGCTGAACGTCAATCTACTATAGAGATGCAAATGCACAGCTCCAAGCTGAACGTCGACAAAATTTTCAAAGAAAAAATTGGTCGGTTTTTAATGACGCAGCATTCAATTATGATCCGATGATTGATTATAAAAATTACAGGTTAGTTGTTATCGCACTGATGGACAAGGCATGTCGATTTTGCAGCACTTTAAAATGGAAAGATGAAACCGCAGGCATATGCTGTTCCAATGGCAAAGTGTCTCTTCCGTTACTTGGGGAACCAGAACAACCTTTGAAAACTCTCTTTTTATATGATGCTAATGAGTCACGGCGCTTTTTAAACAGGATCCGTAAATATAACTCATGCTTTCAATGACGTCCTTCGGAGTTTTACTAAAGTACGTAAATAAAGAAACCTGTAAGGTTTTACTGACTGGTGACTTTCGCCAAACTTTACCTGTCATTGAAAAGGGACACCTGCAGATAAAATTAAGCATGCCTCAAATCGTCTATTTTATGGAACAGGGTGTCAAAATTCAGTTTAACGACGAATATGAGAGTGCATTTGTACAATGATATCAACGCTGGAAACTATGCTGACACGCTATTAAAATTGGCGATGGGCGGTTGGAAACGGATGCTGAGGGCTGCGTTAAATTGACGAGAGATTTTCCTTTGGGTTTTTATATATATATATATATATATATTTTTTTTTTTTTTTTTTTATATGGTTTTTTTTTTTTTTTTATTTTATATATATTATTTACTTTACTTATGCTGTATATATATCATGCCAAGAAATACTTACCAAACAACTGTTATAATTTTGTGCATAAATTACATTCCCAGTTTCAAACAACAATGGCACTTCCATGACTATATATTAATGACCAGAAAAAAATATATCATTGCCATGCTCATCATTGCCCTTTGTATTCTAGGATGAGTAATGGCGTTAAGTTTCCTCCTTTTTTTCAATATCATCAAACACTATTTCTCCAAGCTTTAATCTGTTTACTTTATCATCAGGGTGTAGAAGCTCCTCTCCAAAATATTGTCGCAACTCTTTCCATGCTTTTGTCCCTGATTCTAAAACTAACAAAAAATTTTAAATAATATTATGATAACGCTTGAAAAAGGGAAAGGAAAGCATGGACGAAGATTGCAATAGGCTAGAGAACATATGAACTGGGAATCTCATCAATGGTTGTTGGTGCTTTTCACTATTGAATCCCGAAAAGAAGAAAAAAGTAAAGGGCCTAGATGTGGACCCCGGAAGAGACCGCGAGAAAGAACGAGCAATAACCATTCAAACAGACACTGACTGCGATTTCGTATATACCATTCGATCCATCTAAGCAGGCTGCCCTGCACTCATAATCTTCAAAGCTTTTGTAGGTGTATGTCATGATTAATTTTACCAAAAGCTTTGGAAAGCTATGCAAATGACATTAAACTTTTCAGGAAAATAAATTCTATTGAAGATTGCCGCAAACTACAGTCGGGTATTGAGAGCTTATGTAATTATTGTGAAAGTAATCAATCGTACCTCAATGTATATAAATGTTTTATAATAACATACTCTAGAAAATTAAGCCCCCTAACTTATAATTTTCTTTGTGAAAAGAGTCTTAGTCATGTTAAAAACATTCGTGATATGGGCATTAACATGGACGATCAGGCCTCTTTCAACAACCACATAGATTTAGCTATAGGAGGGATTAAGCCCAAAAGAGCTTAGAGCTTTCACGGATGGTTCTAAAAGTATGAAGGTGTAAGATCTGGAACTTTCTTTGAAGACCTCTATATCCATAAATGTACACCGCTGGGTACTTTCTCTGAAGAACTCAATATCCATATATGTACACCGCTGTATACCCATAACACAGTCTATCAGGCGGAATACGGGTATCATCCAAGCAGCCATTGCAATAGATGCCAGGAAGGTAAAAGACTCAAGGTCTGAGTTGCAATGTGGTGGACTAGAGACTAATACAGTGGACACCGGTAATCCGACATTTTGCAAGGCAGTGTAGGACTATTGAATTAGTCAGATTATAGAGTACTGCGTAAGGACCCCTATAGTCCATAATTTTTTACAAAAAGTACCTTGTAATCTGACAAATTACAGATCCAATGATAAGATTCTATATGTTATATATATATATATATATATATGTGTGTCATCTCTGTACACACGCTAGGCTGCACCGCTATCCTCATCACATGTAGTCAAATTAAAACTAAGCAATCAGAATCAAAACAATACTATCATTACTAATCCCATCACCACCACTCCTAGCAATCTCTCCGCTCACTACACGCTGCTATTTTACTCGTTGATCAGCGAGTTGTATAAATAGCAAGTGTTTCGATTCGCCGTTCACTTAGCCACAGAATAAATAATAGTACTACGTACAGAAGTTGCACTCCTTTGATGTCGACTGCTTGCCGATGTTTAATAGCCTACACAATTATTATTAATCAGATAAATCGCGCACGCAAGCCAAATAAAACTTTATCACTGCGCATTAGTGTCCATATTATATTGCATCTTTTCCGCTTCCTAAGTCACCCCGGACTTTCCGTGGTTATTAAGGGATGTCAATAGAAAGTAAAAAAAAATCATTGCGAAATGTTAATTATGTTACTTAGGTGAAGTACCTATTCCGACTATGATCGACTGACCATACTTTCGCCCCTATGTGAGTTCTCCGTTGCCTAATGCATGCAAATTGCAAGGTCATATACATACGGATAGTGAAGTAAATTTTAACTAATTTTTGTGATAAAGTAATTAGATATTTCTTCTGTAGACCAAATTATTACTTAATTCTATTTTTGCTGTAAGTACATATCCAACAAATTAATGAA